TAAATTAATATCTTTAAGATATTATATGTACATATTCATTAAAAGGATATTTGTGGGCCACCTAATATTATGTGCCAAGCAAAATGCTGGGTGTTGTATGGTGGCAAACTACAAGTGTGTAGCCTTAGAACACAAGAAATCTTGAGTTTAAATCCTTTTTCCCAAGCTTCCAGACCTAGCTAAGGTATTTATTTACTCAGTCCTAATAAAAACTAGAATAATTAATTTTTATTTTACAGGGCTTTTGTATTGACAATAAGACATAAAACTAGTAAAGCAGTTTCATACCAAGTAAGTACTTAATTATCATGGGCTCTGCCCTTAAGGAGTGCCTAATTTCCACTATTATTATTCAAATGTAGCCCTTGTTCTCTCAGTCTAGCTGGGGAGATGAGTACAGCATCAGGCTATTCAAGAGTTGTGGGGTGGAAAATAAAGTAATAGAAGAAACAGAGCCTATAACAAAATATCTGCATTAGGAGGATAAAGAAAGAAAAGTTTGGTGCACAGCATTAATTTAGCACAGTATCAGATACATTTCTGTTGCAAGTACCTTAGTTCATAAGTTTGGTTTAGCATCTTATGAAGGTTTCAGACCAATAAGAATAATGAATGTAGTGATGCAGGCCTGTGCCCTGTGCAGGTACATTCTTGTAGCGACACCTCATGTAAGCCCCACATCAGCTTTGCAAGGTAGGAACTATTATTCCCACTTGAAAGATGGGGAAACTGAGACACACGTTGCTTAAAGTAACTCACTCAAGATCACATAAGCAAACCAGGATTCAGAATGAGGCTTTCCAGCATCTGAGCTGCATTCCTGGCCACTCATGACATCTATTCCCCTGGTTTCTTTCTTGGAGCTTCATTTCACAGTCAGTATGGACTGTCATTAATTATTCTTAAGAAAATTATATAAATCAAGGTAAATTCAGGGAAAAAATGAAACAGATGAAAAGCAATGGATCTGGAAGAAAATACAGGCTGGCCATTTTTTTCCCCAGGTGGAAACTTAGGTGCCCTCTGCCCATCCTATCCAGACCAACATCTCCTTCCTTCCTGGGCGGTGCCAGGAGGTGGCAGCCTAGCGCATCTCCTGTGGGCTGTAGCATTTAGAGTGCTCTGGAGCTTAAAAAAACCCCATGCTTTAAATCAGTTTAACTTTCCCTTTCTGAGAGGTGTTGACTACAGTAGTGCTCATTCTCTCATTTCCTGAGTAAGTCTACTCTGCTGAGGAAAGGTTCTGTCTTCCTGGTGCTTTTCACTAGAGGGTTCTGTGGGGAGATTTCAGTTTTAGGGCATCTTTTAAACTCTGGCCCTCTTGATCTGCTACAAGATCCTGTTCCACTGGACGAGTCATGAATTTGTGGATCTTGCTCTTAAGTTCTGTGTAAAGTAGAGAAAAACGAATCACTAACCACATAGTGTGGTGAATGAACTGTTCTAATATAGAAGGACCAAAGGGGAAAAAAGAGTGGAAAAAAAGAGCCTAATTAATTTGACTAGTGATTCCAAGGAAGGTTTCTTAGATGAGTGACACCTGAGTTAGGCACCAAAGGTGTGTAAGTGTATGGGGTGGGGCACATTCCAGCCAAGGTCCTGGACCTGCAGAGACAAAGGACCATGAGGTGCCTGGGGTGAGTGGTGAGGATGGAGGGTGGAGTGGGGTGGGGTGGGGGGCTGTGTCCAAATCACCATACAGATCCAGGCCTCTGCTTTTTTCATGCTTTCATCACCAAATCCCACCAAATTCCACCCACTCTTAGCTCTGTTTCTCCCAAAAGTCTTTTCTGACAATGCTGGCTTATGACACTCTGGAGTTCAGAATTTAACTGCAGTGGCAGTGCTGGAGCTGCATCCTCTCTTCACCAGGGCAGAGGAAGGTTGCCTTACCCTTTGGGCCCTTACAGCCCCCAACACAATGACAATGACTCACTCATTGGGACTGGTGCCTTCATCCTGTCTATATGTAGTCCATTTCTGTTCTCCAGCCTGGGATTATTCATGGGATGTAGAATTTGGCTGATTGTATTTGCTACATACGCAGGAAACAATTTCTCAGATGTTCCCGCCAATGTTCTGCTTACTTGGTGGGGGTTTCTCAGCACTGCAGCTGGTTGGGGGAGGGTACAAACCTCAGCTGAACCCGATACCCTCTGGGCTGAGCCTCTGGAACTGTCATGCCCCCAATTTCATCACCTGCACCTTCATCTCCTGAGTGTCCCCCTGTAGAATAACTCTGCTTCCTTCAAGTTCTCTTGTTTTGATATTTGGGTTACAGTAAAGTCCTTTCAAGTACCAGAAAAAATAGCTCATCAATTCCTTTTAGAGGTAGAAGCAGCAGGTATGGTTTCTTCTTGCTGAGGCTGCTTGGAGTATATTAGTCTGGTTCTGCAGAGAAACAAAACCAAAAGGAGAAAATAATGATGATGATGATGATGTTATGCAGGCCAAAAAGTCCCAAATCTGCTGTTAACTAGAGACCCCAGAGAGGCGATGGTAATGGTTCCCATCTGAGTCAGAAGGCCTGAGAACCAGGAGAGGTGATGGTGTAAGTTCCAGTTCAAGTCCAAGCTCAAAGGCAGGAGAAGACCAACATCCCAGCTAGAAGGCAGTGAGGCAGAGAGAAAGAGCTCCCCCTCCACCTGCCTCTTTGCTCCATTTAAGCTTGCAATGGGAATGGTGATGCCCACCCACACTGGTGTGTGTGTGTCTCCTTTATTCAGTCCATCAATTCCAATTCAGTGATAACACCCTCACAGACATTGAATAATGTTTAATCAAATATCTGGGCCCCATCAAGTGGACCCATCAATAAATCATTATAGAGTGTTACAGAAGACGAGATTGACCGGAGGGAAAATCCCAAGAGGATTTGGAAGCCTGAAGAAAATGCCCAAAAGGTCCCCAGCAAAGGGATCTTTTCCAACCCTCACTGGTGAGTGTATGTATGGCAGACAGCCCCAGCCGGAAGGCCCCTCCCAGCACTGCCATGTGCGCCTCGGTTGGTGGAACCCGCACAGAAGTTTCTAAGACAGAAGGCAAGTAGAGTCCAGGGCACGCACTTGGGGAGGTTCCCGGGTGCTGTGTGGACTGGAACAGGCCCTGTGCCAAGCTTCTCACACATACTGAGTGTGGGCAGAGCCTCCTCGGGGGAGTGCTATGGTGTATTACAGGCACGCGAACTTTGGTCTTCTTGGCATAGGGGGTTGTGGGAAGAGTCACATCTTGGTCACAAGAAACTGCCAGCCATGAGTAATCTCGAGCATTGACCCCACTGTGCCATAAGAATCCTCCTTTCTACATGTGCTGTGGTGTGAAGAAGGCTGGGAGGCCCTGTACCACCACAATCATCCATTCCTTACGGGAGAAGTCCCCTCCCTGGGCCAGACTGACTCCCTCCATGCTTATTCCAGGCAGGGGCCACTGGGACACCACTGCAAGAGCCTGTGCTGGCTGCTTCCCATGATGATCCGCTGACGGAGCTCCCGGGAGCTGGGCTTCAGCTCTCCAACTGCTTGCCAGTCTGTTCCTGCTGTGGGCCCGTGCCTGCCCGGAGCCGGCACCTGTTTTCTAATTTTCACACCGTGACCAACAGTGCGGTATTAGAAGCTGGAGTTTCCACAGAGTTCAGAGGCTGGGGGCACCGGCATTTAAGGGTGGGATTAGTGTCACGGCCCGTGCCTGGCTTGGAGCTGGGGCAGGGCTGTGTGTGTATGTGACGGACTAGAGACCACAGCTCTCAGCACTCAGTCCTGAGGCGGGAAGGAAGAGCCCAGAGCGCCCGCTGCCCCGGCTTGGGCAGACAGGGAGGGAGCACACAGGACAACAGTCAGGAGTGTTTACCTTTTCCAAGGGTTGCACTGTGGAATACACTGAGTTCACTGCTTCCTCCTTGGGTAGGGACACCTATAAAACACCCGTCGACCAATTCGTGAGGGAGTTCTGGAAAATGTTAAGAACCCCTCCTGATTCTGCTCTACCTGTCACTCCTCACTGGTGTCACTTTCCCCAGGTGGCTGCCTCTTGGGGCCTCAGCTCTACTTTGGAGAGGATGGGGGTCAGGCAGAGTGGGGTGGGACAGTGGGCAACGACTGAACAGAAACCTCTAGAGACACAAGGAGGGTTTGCATAATTCAGACTGAGTTCTGCTTCCCATGCCCTGTGTCATGGTGCCCTGTCCATCTAAATATAGTACTGGGCCTCCCCAGTGGCGCAGCGGTTGAGCGCTGGGTTGCAAAGCTGCCTGCAGCCTCTGCAGAGCCAGTTGGATCCCTGGTCGCTGGGAGAGAGTCCCACATGGCGCACAGACCTCTCCTGCCGCCCACTGCTCCCCTCAGCAGTGTACTTTGTCCATCTGCCTGTTCTGTTCTCCGCTCTGGCTCTGGTGAATTCTCTCACCCTCCTGCACTTCTGACTGTACCCAGTGCTTGTATAAATAAATAAATAAATCTTAAAAAAAAAAAGAAAGAAAACAACTAGGGCAATTTAAAACAAACAAACAAACAAACAAACAAACAAATAAATAAATAAATATAGTGCTCTAAGACCAGGCTGAATCAGTCCTTAGGGAGCAGGCAAGTGCAGGTACAGAGGAGGGGATGCAATGTAGACACCTGGTCCAGGATGGAGTTGAACAGGACAGGTGACAAGGCAGGTGACAGGAAAGGACGGAGACAGAGTGACTGAGTCTGAGGGAGGTGATCTCCTGCCACTAGGAGCCCTCAGCACACATCATGCAGATATGGGTGGCCACATCAGAGCCCTCACCTGGGGACTCCCTTAGCTTGGCCCTGTAGGGAGCACTCCTTTCCTAGTCCTGACTCACCTAAGAGTTCAGCCCAGTGTGGAAACTCAGGGCCTCCGGCAGTGGGCACCAAAGGCTACCAGGGAAAGAGTTGGCTACTTTCTGTTCTTCTAGAAGGACTCATGGCACTATTTCCCAGAATTGGCATTTCTAGTTGGACCCTCTAGATCTTTGGCCATGGCCCTGGTCTAGGCTACTGCTCACTCCGAATCTGGGTGGGCGGATCATGAGGAACGTGGCTCACATTACTCTGGAGGATTTCATTGTATAGCCTGGATTCTGCTGGCCAGGTGGTCCTTGAAATTTCTGTGTATATTGTTTTTGTTGTGTTAGCATCTGTGTCACAAATAAAGATAAAACCATAGAATGTGAAAGGTAGAGGATTTTATGAATGATCTCTCTTTAAGATGAAGAAATGAGGCCTACCAGATTAACTAGTCCCATCTCTTATAGGAGTTGCTATGGTCTGGAAGGCACCCAGCTTAGGCATCCTTAGAACTCAGTAGGAATTCTCTTCTACTCAGGAATCTACTTTAGGCTGAAGGGATTCTACTCCTCCCCATGTGGGCACTCAGAATAGCTCTCCCACATGGGGTCTTTTTAGGGTCTCTGGCACAGCTACTTATCTTTTTACAGAAGAGTCTCAGGTTTTCAATTAGGTGGTTTTGTTAGGGGGAAAAAGGATGTCCTAAAGCTAATTCCATACAGTTTTTGTGGACTCCACCCCTACCCCAGGCCAAAGCCAAAGACACTGGGAACTACAAATCCCATCACCACCAAAGGGAAGGGTGGGGTTAAGCAACCAGGTTGCTGGGACCTGAGGGTGGGGTTAAGCAGCCAGGTTTGGTATAAAGCCAGACATGTGGGCTTTGGGAGGCCCCCATTTTTGGCTCTCCACCACCTTGCAGAGTTCTGCCAGCTCTGAGAGTGCCTTTGGGTTTCCAGGTCGGCAGATCGGGTAGGAGCATTAAAGACTTTATTTCCCTATTTTCTCCCTGAGTTATACATTTCCTCAATTCCCTTTCCCTTGTAAATAAACCTTTTATTAACCTTTTGTGTGTGCCTGTAGTGGAGTATTAATAAGTCCCTTTTAAGCGTGTGGGTGAGGACCCACAGCCAGGCAACCTGTTTTATATCGGGGCTGCTCTGTAACAGTTTCTCTCCAGTTATATCTGTGTTGGATTTCACCAGTGGGTACCTTATTACCTTAGTGTTGAACACATAGTAGATGCTCCTGCCTACCTTGCTTGATTGAGTCATAAAGTCAGACATTTATTGAGCTCCCTCCTGTGCCAGGAGTTGTGAGGTGATTGGTAGGAAAGGTAAATTTGAGGTGAACATGGGGGTAAGAGTAATAGGGGTGATGAGGGTGTAATGATCTCCTTGGGGCCAAAGATCAGGTTTCCTGTTTGAGAATGGCATCATACAAAAGGATCCAGAGTGATCTTATGACAACCATGGAATACAAATGAGTACATGTCCCTCAAGGACTCCCCAAAGATCATGGTCAAAAGCTACACAGCAGGTGTCAGTTTTCTTTAAAAACAAATAAGTATGATGCATGATTCAAAAAACAAAAAAAAACTCAGTGGAACTGAAGTGACCCCGGAGACCCCTGGAGACCCTCTAGTCCAAACCTCACTTCACACATGAGAACACTGAGCCAGAGATACTGGTCTAATGAAGCACATCTTGTTAATGTCAGCGCTAAACTTGAACCCATGTTCTGGGCCCACCAGACTCTGGGGATCCCAAAACAGCTCTGAAGACCATTCAAGGCAATGTCACACTGTCCTTGGGGACCTCATTCTGAAACTGGTGAGGTGGCAGGGAGGGGAGTGTAAGAGGGTTGATTCTTTAGAACAAAGGACCTCTCCACATCACTGGGGAGAAATTATTTTGGTTCCAGGGAGTAGAAAGATGCTTTTCCACATTTTACCTTCTGGGAAAATCCTACCTTGACCTCTTTTGCGCAGAAGAAGCAGAATTACTGGCAATATGATGAGCATAAACAGGAAAAGTACAGCCATTGTACTCAGCAGCCCAATGTGGCATCTCTGGTGGCTCAGCCCAGTGTCTGGAAAGAGAAGTCACAGTGAGACTAGGACCTTAGGAAACGGGCCCATGGGGCTGGGCAGGCTTGGTACCTTTGGGGACACAATCAAAATTAGGTGACCTTCAAGGTGTGCCAAAGCTCCAGGAGAGCACTTCTTGCTATTAGAAAACTAATCAGAGGGGTCTGGCAACTCTCAGAAGACTCTGGACACTTTCAGGGCACTGTGGGAGGAGACACCCTAGGACCAGCCTACTGCAAGGGAGGTGTATACCCCTGAGAATGAAGCCCAGACTCAGACCTTGCAGCTCTTCTGAGTGACTGCTGAGGGCTCTGGGAGGACAAGACTGAGCTGCTTACCTGAGCAGAGCTGCTGGGCAGGATAGACTCAGAGCTGTTGCTGACAGGGTTCCAGGCCGTGCAGGTGTAAGTGTGCTCTGGGTCTTTGTGGCTCTGGGTCTTCGTGGCTCTGGAAAATTCGAATGATGTTCCCCTCTCTCCCCAGGGAACTCCAACTATATGTTACATTTTTGTCTTCTTCCTCCACAAAGCATGTCAGTGTGACATTACAGGTGCTGTTCACAAAGGTCATTAAGCTCTGAATAATTTTTGGTTTCCCAAGCCGACCTGGGAGGGAAAACATGAGCAAGAAGTCAACTGGGGCTGGTTACACCAGCTGTGAGTGCCAACTGTTATATTTCAAAAAATTGTCAAGATGGTGGTTAAAAAGAGCTGTCATGAAATATTGAATTATAAAGACTTACAATTAAATTATATTAAAAACAAAGCTAACAAATACTCAAAACTCACCACTTTCTATTTCCTTTTTGGACATTTTGCTGTTATCTAGGCTCTCAAAGTTATTTCATCTTTTGTGTATGTCCTTTGTAATGATGTATGAATTATTCCCAACTCCATATGTCTTTAAAGCAACCAGGATGAGGCCCTCCCCAGTGGTGCAGGGGGTTGAGCGCCACATTGTGAGGTTGTCCTCAGCCTCTGCAGTGCGGGTTTGATTCCTGGCTGGCCAGGGAGATTCCCACATGGCGTGGCAGACCTCTCCTGTCTCGTTAGCTGCTCCCCTCAGCCTTGTGTTTCTGTTGTCTGCCTGTTCTGCTCCCCGCTCTGTCTCTGGTGAGTCCTCTCACCCTCCCGTCCCTCTGGCCTGTACCCCTGCTCTTGTATAAAAATAAATAAATCTTAAAAAAAAAAAAAAGCAACCAGGATGAGAATAGTTGCACCACAGAAACTGATAAAAGTCCGTCTCAGAAGCTTGTATACTGCGTGATTCCCAATATATAATGTTTGTGAAGTAACATAATCATGTACATGAAGAAAGGATTTGTCTTCCAGGAATTAGGGAGGGAGAAGGGGTAAAAAGTGACTCTGAAGGGATGAAAGAATCTTGTGGCCATGTTATCTTAAGTGTGATTGTGGTAGTGCTCACGTGAAGCTACATGTGTGATTATGTTGACCAGAGCTACTCCATGCTCACACATGCGAGTACATGTGTAAGTGGTGACATCTAACTACACTCTGTAGGTGGACCCAATGTTCATTTTTGGTTTTGATGCTGTACTGTAGTTAGGTGAGATGTTACTATTAGGAGAGGCTGACTGAAGTGTACACAGAACCTCCCCACACATTTCTTTACACTTTCTTTTGCATCTATAATTATTTCAAAATAAAAGGATCTTTTACAAAAGGGATTTACATACACTGGTCCTCACAAGAACTGTAGGACGTGAGTGCTGTGACTGTACATGTTTTATAGAAAAGAAAAGCAAGGCCCAGGGGACAACTGTTAGGGAAGTTTCCATGGGTAAAAACAAATAAAGCCACACCCTCTTTTTATAAGTTTGAAAAAATTAACTAAGTTTAAGTATAAAAAAAATTTAGGGAATCCAATTATCAGAAAAATCGCAAAATTGCAAAGCAAAACCTTCAATTTACCCACAACTCACGGTAGATTTGAAGGTTGTAACGCTTGGTTTCGGTAGTGCTTGAGGTCTTCAAAGTGACGTCGGCCGAGTAGATGCCTGCATCTTCCATCCCAAGATTTCTCATCTCCAGGTTGTAGTTCTGACCTGAGACATTTATTCGGTCATTATAACTGTTGTGAGTCACAATGACTTTGGGTACTGTTCCTGAGTCTCCTGGTTGTACAAAAGCAATTGATGTTTTGAACTGCCAAACAATGGTTCCAACTTGCTGTGATTCTGGGATATTCAAGGGGAAAGTAACTGACTCCCCCAGGATCCCATTCACGGTGCAGACATCTGTGTTACTTCCAGCTGTTTCTGGCCCTGAGAACACAAATAGAAAAACCACTGTGCCTGTTAGAGTCCCTTGTCCTCCCATCTCATCCCCTTTCCTGAGAATGCTTCTTTTCTTGGGCATCGACTTTGGAAGGGGGCATTCTACTCAAGGTATGTCTAATACGTTATGATGACCATGTAGTTCCTAAAAATTTTCATATTTAAACAAAATTTATTCATTTATGTGTAGGGTGTAGGCCAGAGGTGTGGGGGTGAGAGAATTCATCAGAGTCAGAGTGGGGAGCAGAATAAGCAGACTGACTGAAATACACTGCTGAGGGGAGCAGCAGGCGAAACAGGAGAGGTCTGCTGCAGCCCTGTGGGTAGCTCCCTGGCCAGGGATCAAACTCATGTTTTAATGACTGTCAAGTGCTTCATAGTGCTGAGAGTTAACACCTTGTGCTACCAGGGAGGCCCGAAGATTCTCATTTAAAAATTAAGTTTCTGGACCTCCCTGGTGGCGCAGGTGGTTGAGCACCGCACTGTGAATCTTTTCGCAGCCTCTGCAGTGCCTGTTCAATCCCGGCCAGCCGGTGAGAATCCACATGGCGCAGCAGACCTCTCCTGTCTTGCCCGCTGCTCCCCTCAGGAGTGTATTTCCTCATTCTGCTGTTCTGTTCCCTGCTCTGTCTCTGGTGAATCCTTTCACCCTCCTGCGCATCTGGCCTGTACCCTGGTTTTTGTCTAAAAACAAATAAATCTTTCTTAAAAAAAAATGACATGGGGGACATGAAGAGTTTATTTTCTTCTCTTTCTTTGCTTTTCCATCGCCTTTTAAAGACAACATAATTATAAGGTGCTTTTTCTCCTCTTCCTTTTCCTCTTCTTTTGTTACCTGTTATTGTCTCTGAGCTCTATTTAGTGAGGAATAGTTTTGGGCCAGCAAGGGTGATATTAAAAATATTTAATTACTAATTAAAGCATTTAACCAATCAGGAAGGTCACCAGCCATTAACAATAATTGGATCATTCTGATGAGTACCAGCTGCATGTAAGCACCCAAGAGCAGGACATAAGTATTCCACATAGGTGGGCTCAGACTGCTCCTAAAGTTTACCCAGGGTTTGGCATAAAGAGGCAAGGAGAAGGATCCTTGAGAACGCCAGTCATTTTGAAGTGTCACAAAACCAAGGGATTTCTCAAACACATGGCTGCCCCTGCCTCCCAGCACAGTAACTCCTGAATGGGGCTGGGAGCTGCTAATATCTTTCTTTCCTTTTCAGATCAACCAAGTCTTTCCTTAGGAAGAATATCCCAGGCAAGTTCTGATGACCTAGTTGGGGTGCAAGTTCAGAAGGAGACGGTACAGGGCCCTTGGAGGGGGGGAGGGAAGAACAAGGACCCTTATCTACTGTCATTAAGGGCTGCGTGCCAGGGGCTGGGTTAGGGACTCAGAGGCAGGTGTAGTCCTATAGCTCACAGCCCAGAGAGTAAGACAGATGCATATACAAATGAAAAATAAGACCAGGGGGTGAGTGTTAGGTGAAGGAAACAGAAGGGGGACAGAAGAAGAAACTAAGGCTGCCTTTGGTGGCAGAAAGTATAATTTGCCAATATTTATTTCCTTGAACATTAATTCTCTGTAGATAAGCTGATGAGGTCTGGTGGAAGGACTCGAATCCCAGGACCAACAAATGTGTACTTGTGATCTGTGTGATCACACAATCCTCTAGCCCAGAAAGACAATGAGCTTCGTTTAATATGGCCATGCACCTGGACATTGTTAGTGATATTTGAACAAGGACCTCCACATTTTCATGTTTGTGCTGGGCTCCCCAAATTGTATACTTGCTCTTGGTCTCAGACCTCCCATGTCTGTGAAGGCTTTTTGAAGTCAGGTCCTAACACCTAAATGCCATTCTACTCATCAGATTCAGGTTAGGTGTGAAAAAGAAAGGACAGGATGTGGGAGCCATAGACTCATGGTTCTGGTAGGTTCTGTCATCAAACCCAGGAAATGTGTAGGCCTTCCGCTAAGGCTGAGATCTTAGTATTAGAACATTGTACAGCCACAGGATGGTATGAGGGTATGATGTGTAGTTGTATTATCTCCTGTAAAGTCATTCAGGAACTGATGCTGGGGTGGCAGATATGGGTAGCTGGGGAAGTCCTGCAGCAATTTGTGCTGTTGGTGTTATTCCTGAGAATCCTGTGCATGCTGAGAAAAGGCATGGAATGTGAACAGTCCTAAGATGAAGATTTTGCTACCTTTGAACACACCAAATGTGGTGTGAGAGAAAATCCATTACACATAGCTGTGGTTTTACAACCCCAAAACCACTGCATGTAGGGGAAAGATAGGGGACTAAAGATGTGGGTGCTGGGGTGGAAGATAGTGGGGAAACCCTGCACCTACTTGTGCTGCTAGTGTTATTCCTACCTATAAGTTGGGCACTTAATAAAGCCATAGACCCTTTATGAGTCAGTTTCTTCATCCACAGAATGGAAATAATAACTATAAAATTTGCCCAATCTAATTAGTGATCAGCATATAGTATGAAATACTCTGTGAATCATCACGGCAATCTAAATGTTAGTTATTTCTGAAGTTGATAATGAAAATGAGGAGGATGATACCCATAATCATCGTCTTCTTAATAATTGGTACATAGGCTTTAAGGCTTCCCTAGTCCATCTGTGAGGGCCTGTTGACACCATGGTCACCCTGAATAATGTATGAGTCATTATTAAGGGCTAGTTCAAGTAAAGCCACTAGGGATAGTTTTACGTGGCACTCCACTTGGTGGAGTTTATTCTTTCTTTAAACACTTCAGACTTTTTTTTTTTTTAAAGAATCTTTCTATCAATCCACCTCAATACTTATTTTTCTAGATGCTAAAGGGACTCAAACATTTTATTAGTGTTGATGGGGGCACGGCGAGCAAGAAAAGAAGAAGCAGACAGTCAAGCATTGAGAAATCTTGTGTCATTCTCCTTGAGGATGGAAAGTCTTGGTCACAGGATTTTTAAGAAAAGAAAACTACCAGCCCCAGAGAATAGTTACTATTTTCTCTATTAATTGATTTTTATCATCTTTATGAGATTTGAGTTAACTTGAATCTTTTTCTTTAAAACAAAGATGCACTATCATGCACACACACAAATTCGAAAATGAATATAGGATAGTGGCCATGCATTATTATATCTCTATTCCTCTGTAATTGCACACTTTTATTATTTATATATTTATTATTAACTATTGAGCATAAAGATGGAAACAAGGAACATAAAGAGCTCCAGTAATATCAGTCCTCCAACTGATATCCCATACTTCTTTCTAGTTTCTACACAGATGAACCTAGGTGCTTCCAAACTTGCAGATATTTTCCTTCTGAGTTTTAAGACAAGAAAGGGTTGATTCAGAAGATACTTTGGTAGACTGATTACCAGCATTGACCTTGGGTTCCTGCTGAGGAGATACTTGGCTATTTTGTCAGTCACCATATTGATAAGAGGAGCTTTTGGGTTAATGACACTCCTGAGGCAGGTCTCTGCTTCTTCCTACTGGTGTCCTGTGTCATCAAGATGTGCAGTTCCACAACATTTATTTGGAAACTGGATTTTTTTTTTAATTTTTATATTCCCCATACAATTGCAACCCCCTGATTTTGACCCCAATCTCTCCTTTCTCTGTCCCGCCCCCCTCCCAAAGTGTGTCTCTGGTTCATATTTGTCTGTTGATTTTTATTTTTTCTTTCTTATGGTTATTCTTTTTCCTGGTCCCTTATTTAGGTTTTCTAAATTCCTGCTATGAGTGAGACCATCCTGTATTTTTCTATTTCTTTCTGGCTTATTTCGCTGAGCATGATCCCTTCCAGCTCCATCCATGTAGTTCAAATTGCATGTGTTTATCTTTTTGGATTGCTGAGTAATATTCCATGGTGTATATGTACCACATCTTCTTGATCCAGTCATCTATTTTTGGGCATTTGGGTTGTTTCCAAAGCTTAGCTATTGTAAATAGTGCTGCTATAAATATAGGGGTGCAGGTGCTCTTTGAAATAGATGTTTCTGTGTCCTTTGGGTAAAAACCTAGGAGTGGAATTGTTGGATCATATGGAAGCTCTATCTTTAGTGGTTGAGGAATCTCCACACAGCTCTCCATAGTGGTTGGACCAGTTTGCACTCCCACCAGCAATGCAGGAGAGTTCCTTTCACTCCACATCCTCGCCAACATTTGCTGTTGCTAGTTTTTTTTTAAATTTTTTTAATTTTTATATTCCCCATACAATTGCAACCCCCTGATTTTGACCCCAAGCTAGTATTTTTAATATGTGCCATTCTCACTGGTGTGAGATGGTATCTCATTGTAGTTTTGATTTGCATTTCCCTGATTCCAAGGGATGTTGAAAATTTTTTCATATGCCTGTTGGCCATTTGCATTTCCTCTTTGGAGAAGTTTCTTTTTAGCTCTTCTGCCCATTTTTTGACTGGATTATTTTCTTTGTTTTTGTTGAGTCTCGTCAGCTCTTTGTAGATTTTTGTGATCAATCCTTAATCATTAGTGTTGGGTGCAAAAATGTTCTCCCAGTTGGTGGGGTTTCTCTTTGTTTTTGTTATTGTCTCTTTTGCTGTGCAGAAGCTCTTTAATTTGATGTAGTCCCAGCTGTTGATCTTTGCCTTCACTATCACTGCTTTGGGTGATGCGTCTATAAAGATGTCTTTGAGGTGCATGTCATGCAGTGTATCGCCTATATTTCCTTCTATATATTTTATGGTTTCAGGTCTTATGTCTAGTTCTTTAATCCATTTTGAGTTGGTTTTTGTGCATGGTATGAGATAGTGGTCAAACTTTATTCTTTTTCATGTAGCGACCCAGGGAAACTGGATTTTTGCATTTATGTACCAATATCCCATGTTCCCCATTCACAATTTATTCTTCATTCTATGACTGGGTGTATGCTTTTGACCCCTTTGTGAATGCAGCAGCAGCCTGTTCAAGTCTCTTTCTAGAACACAGAATGTCTTTATCTTCAGGTCCCTCCATGCGAGGATGTTGGGTCAATGACAAATTGGCTCTTGCACACACTCTTCTCCAGGCATGAAATCTTCTAACTTGTAGGCTCATCGTTGGGCCCTATTTAAGCATGGGAAGATACCCATTTGGGTCTACTCACCTGTTGGACTTTTATGTATCAACTGCTAGAATACCCTACAAAGGTGTTTTCTTTTCAACAGGGCTTCAAAGTCCTGTCTATATTGGACCCTTGTTTGCAGAAGTTATTTTAACTCAAATCAAATTATGTGAATGGTACCTGAGTGATGTCTGTATATAGGCATTCTTTGGATCTTCTGCCTAGTGCCCCTACCTTAATTTCTGATGTTGGTGAAGACCTACCCACAAGCCCCCACCCTCCTCTGCAGGTAGTTGTGAGATAGGTCCAGCCTCTGACTGAACTATTCTGACTTGATGGGAATAAATCATGACTTTTCACTGACAAATCACAGAATGGAAATGAATGATCGGCAGAGGGACAGTACTTTGGTATCAAAGTGGGTGAAGACAGAAATGGCCAGTGGTTAAGTCCAAAGACATTTGTGTTCAAATGGAGCAGTCATGGGATTAGAAGAATGAGTTCAATTTCTAACTGTACCAACTTCAGGTTGTAAAATTTTAGATGAAGTATTTGACTTGAATCTTAATCTATACTTAAAAAAAAAATAACAGAGGCCTCGCCAGTAACACAGTGGGTGAGCGCAGCGCTGGGGAGCTGTCGCAGCCTCTGCAACGCGGGTTCAATTCCCACTTGGCCAGGGAACTACCCACATGGCCTGGCTGACCTCTTCTGTCTCCGCGCTGCTCCCAGTTCCATCTGCCTATTCTGCTCCCTGCTCTGTCTCTGGTGAATTCTCTCACCCTCCCAGGCCTCTGGCCTGTACCCCAGTTCTTGTATAAATAAAAACTAAATCTAAAATAATAATAATAGAAAAATAACAGGATTAATAATATTCATCTTGTTTATTTTAATGATTTTAGTATGGATCACAAGAATGTCAAGATAAAAATTGCAGAAGGCTTTGTAAACTAAGTATCAAATGCATGATGGCCAGTCTTCTCAGGAACCTGGGGACATTCCTGTATTTTCCACTTAGTTTCTATCCAACTGTTCACTATCTACTTGCATTTTCTGCCTCCTACATCAGGGTGACTAGCACAAGCTCCAAAGCCATAGCTTGTCTAGTGGGTGTAATCTACGTCAAGCTTGAATTAAAGGAATCACAGCTATAAATGGTCAAGGAAACTCAAGAGACCAAGGTGTATCAATTCTACCTTTTCAGGAAATCCTAACCCACTGGATTCTTTATATTCTAAATCATGCCAGGAATATGCTGGTGCTTTTACAGAACTTGTGAAAGATTCTATAGGTAGATTTATTAAATAAGAAATAGTCAATTTTGACTTTAACAAAGCAATTGTTTGGATTAAATGAGATAATATATACAAAAACACTTCAGACCTAGATTAATGATACAATTTTCTTTGTGCTAACCACAGCCAGTGGTCATTTTGTCCTTCATAATTAAGCCATAATAAGAAAAGAGAGTTTTTCATTCAAGTTCTCCATCTCTTTTTTGAGACTTAGCTTATTTGTAAAATAGGGATAGTAATATCATCCCCACTTATTTTAGAGAGCTTTTGGAGGATATAAGTAGAGAATAACTCAGAATTTGCTTTGCAAAGAAAGGGAATGTGCAAAGATTAAGTTTTCAAAATGATAATTATGATCATGTGTCACTCTAATCTGGGAGAGCAATGAGATATAACTGGGAAGTGCATGTCTGTTCAAAAGTAGGTAATACATTTTATTTTATTTTTTCTAATTTTTTTATTGTATCACTTTTTTCATTAAGTTAACATTGGTTTATTTATTTTTTTAGATTTATTTATTTGTACAAGCACTGGGATACAGGCCAGAGGCGCAGGAGGGTGAGAGGATTCACCAGAGACAGAGCAGGGAGCAGAACAGGTAGAAAGACTGAAATACACTGCTGAGGGGAGCAGTGGGTGAGGCGGGAGAGGTCTGCTGCACCATATGGGTTTCTCCCTGGCCGGCCGGGAATCAAACCGGTGCTGCAGAGGCAGCAGACAGCTTCACAGTGCTGTGCTCAACCCTCTGCACCACTGGGGAGGCCCATTGGTTTAAGCATGGTATAAGCATGATTCAGAGGTATAGTTTCCTATCTCTTCAAATGTAGGAGGTAACACATTTTAACCCACCCCCCAAAGAATTTGCATTTAAGTTAGTCAAGGTTTTGGATGATCTGTTCTTTCTTGGGGGTCTCTGGGAAGTTCAACCAAATGTTAACTCTCTTAAACAGAAGAGTTCATTGCAGACCTTTGGAGGCTGGGCGGAGACAAAATTCAGAAATATAAACTCCAAAGCTAAAAATAATTATGTTTCTCCCCAGTCAGATGGAGCCTTCTAGAGACCTAGGGTGTGTCTGTTAAGACAGATCAAAGGTGCATTTCAGCATCTTTCTGAAGGGAAATTTCTAAAAGTAGAACACTAGAAGGGAGTCAGCAAGGGTCAAAACTCACAGGTTTGCAGGCAAAGGAGCAAGATCCATAGGAGGGGCTGAGCCATCTTCTCCAGGGCTGGTCTTCCGTGGGCAAGAATGGCAGGAACTCTGCTAGCAGGGAGTTGGTTTCACTTGTGTTTTTGTGCTCCATTTATAGACAGATTAAGAAAGGAAGTCTGAAAAAAAGTGTAATTTCCATCATTCAAGAAAAATTAACCCCTTTCACCCAGCAGAATGCTGAAACTGTATAATGTTATAAGCCAACGCTATTTCAATAAAAATGTTTTACAAAAAAGGAAGTATGAGTTAACTGACTTAGGAAAAGTTTATCTATACTTTATGATGCTCATTTTTTCCCTATTACATAACATTAATGCCTAGTATTATTTATTCAACAAGTATTTACTGACTGCCTACTAGGTGTCAGGTGCTATTTAGGGAACTGGCAATATAAAGAGCAGCAAAGTAACTAATCTTGCTCTTTTCCTGAGCCTATGTTGTTGTGGGGAGCTCAAACGGGTAATTTCAACATAATGTGATAAGGACAGCAATGGAGAAAATGAAGGGAAATGAAACATCTTAGATTAATTATTTAATTTCACAGAATTTAACTGTATTCCTCTCACATTTTTAGTAAGCTGATTTCCTTAAATATATAATTACTGCATGTGCAAAAACATACCTCTATCATGTGTGCACAGAGAAACAAGAAAGAAGAACATGAAATTGCCACTTGCTGTTGAAAACCTGACTTTGTATTCCCTTTCTTCCATCTTCTTTCTCAGCAGAATGCATATGTTTTTTTTATGTTTTTAATTTTATATTTTTTTACATCATTTTTCATTTTTCATTACATCATTTTCATTTTCATCTTGGTTATCGTCCTCATTAAATTCCCACCCCTCCTTGTTTTGATGCTTGCCTGTTGATTTTGATTTTTACTTTATTATAGCTAGTCTTTTTCCTGGTCCCTTGTTTAGGTTTTCTAAATTCCTGGTATGAGTGAGACCATCCAGTATTTTTCTTTTTCTTTCTGGCTTATTTCGCTGAGCATGATCCCTTCTAGCTCCATCCATGTTGCTGTAAATAGCATGAGTTTACCTTTTTTGATTGCTGAGTAATATTCCATTGTGTATATGTACCACAGGATGCATTTACTTTTTTAAGCTATTTCTCAGAGTCAGTTATTGTCACCTAATTCAGATCTTTAGTTCATAAGGAGAAGTTCAGGTTTTGAACAGAATTCTTTTTCTTCCTGTTTTCTTCTTTCTTCTTCTCTTTACCTCTCCTACTTTTTTCAAGAATGATTGAAGTGGGGTCTCCCCGGTGGCGCAGCGGTTGAGTGCTGGGTTGCGAAGCTGCCCGCGGCCTCTGCGGCACCGGTTCAATCCCCGGCTGCTCCCTGGCCACCGGAGGAGGGTCCCACGTGGAGTGCAGACCTCTCCTACTGCCCACTGCTCCCCTCAGCAGTGTACTTCGGTCCTTCTGCCTGCTCTGCTCCCCGCTCTGGCTCTGGTGAATTCTCTCACCCTCCCGCACTTCTGACTGTACCCAGTGCATGTATAAAACAAAACAAACAAATAAATAAATAAAACATGCCTCTATAAAAAAAAAAAGAATGATTGAAGTGAAGATAAGAAAAATAACTTAAAATAATAAAATTGGTGTTAGGGGCCTCCCTGGTGGTGCAAAGGGTTAAGCGTCAGCACTATGAAGGAATCCCCAGCTACTGCACATGGAGCTAACACACATGGCACAACAGAACTCTCCTGTCTCTCCTGCTGCTGCCCTCAGCAATGGATTTCAGTACAGCTACCTGTTCTTCTCCCCACTCTGTTTCTGGTAAATCCTCTCACATCCCCCCGACCCTGTACCTCTGGCCTATACCCTTGTTCTTGTATGCATAAAAAAAAATCTTAAAAAAAATAAAAAATAAAATTGATGTTAGTTTAAAAAAGTTCATGCTTCTTAAAAATTTCTGCTATCTGGAATTAGAGACAGATAGAGATGAAAAACAAATTGAATTCTCTACGTAGGAAAAGAATTATTCTGTGTTCATAGAAAGACAAATAATTATGGAAATTAAGCAGAACAGAGAAAGAAAAAAATATTTGTTTACCAGGAAGAACAATATGGCAGCTCTAAGTTAAAAGTGGTTCTTCCCCTTATTCTTTGGATTCACTCCTTTTCCCTCCTTCCATCCTGCATCACCAGTTTCTCCCTGATGAGTGGCCAAACACACAAATATACTTTATAACTTAATTCCAAATGTTTCACATCCTCTGTTAAACACTATCTCATTTCTTTGCCCCAATTAAAAGCAAGTCTTACTGAAATGACTCCATGGTCAATGTTTTCGTTCCCTTATTTTTCAAGGCCTCTCCCGACTCCACTGAAACTCCTACTGTCAAGTTCATCCATGACCTCCTCATTGTGAATTCTACCGGTGAAAAGGAGTGAGGGATTTCAGTGGAATAATGACTACTTTGATGACATTGTTGACCAAAAGTCTAAGGTGTGTGACATCTGTCAAAAAGACACAATAGGGACCTCCTGGTGCCACAGCAGGTTGAGCGCAGAGCTGTGAAGCTGTCTGCAGCCTCTATAGTGCAGGTTCAATTCGCAGCTAGCCAGGGAGATACCCATGTGGCGTGGCAGACCTCTGCTGTCTCACCTGCTGCTCCCCTCTGCAGTGTTTTCGGTCTGCCTGCCTGTTCTGCTCCCCATTCTGTCTCTGGTAAATCCTCTCACCCCCCCACATTTCTGGCCTGTACCCCAGTTCTTGTATAAATAAATGAATCTTAAAAAAAGACACAGTGTTATTAGCTGTAATGGCCTATCCCTCAATAGAAACACCAATAAATAAATAAGATAATAGTATAAATAATAACAAACACTTCCCGAATCAACTTTGACAAAATTGTATAAAGTAGCCAAAGGTTGAAAGCAACCAAATCAAGAAAAAAGCAATTTAAAATTGAGAGGAGAGCTTTGCAGCATTTTATTTGCTTTCCCCTTCCCTGGCTTGGTTGCACACTGCTAAGACCATAGTCCTTGATTCCAGAAGGCTGCCATTATTCTGAAAGAATTATATTTGTCTGTTTTGACCTGTCTGGGTGCTGTCTGAAGAACTGATGGAAAGCACCTGCCTTATTTTAACTAAGTCAGCACTCTCAAGTGGAAAAGTAGCTATGCAGAGGGTATTCTTCATAACCATTGAGAGGCAAATGTGCTACCCATTGCCACTTGGCACAAAAGACTACAGTCAAGGTAAACATTGGAGAAGCTGAAAATCTGGAACAGAAGATTGAAAGAGATTCTTTGGAGAATCAAGGCACTGAAAAGTGTCTCCATATACCAGGAAAATTAGAACACCACATGCATACCCAGGAGTCAAGTTTATAAAAGCCTTGAGGAGACCCTATGATTTCATCTATATATAAAACCATAGTTATAAGACTTTGTTAATGGGCACACATGTATAAAGATGTAATTTTTGATAACAATGTAAAGGGAATGGAACTGTATAGTAGTAGAATATTGGCATACTATTGAAGTTAAGACAATCTTAATCCAAAATTGATTGCTATAAATTGAAGAGGTTAATAGTAATCACCAGTATAACAAGTAAGAACATACAAAGAAATATACAGAAAAAGAAATTAGAAAAGTTCCAAAAATAAAAAATCAATTATGTACAAAAGAAAGGAGTAATGATGGAATTGAGGGAAAAAAGATATAGAACATAGAAAACAAATAGAAAAATACAGGAAATAAGGCCTTCCATATTGGTGATTAAGTGTAAATTGATCTAGTTATCAATTAAAACACAGAGATTAACATAATGGATATGATTTAATTCTGTTGTCTTCAGAGACTCCTTTAAATTGAAAAGCACAAACGGTTTAGAAATAAAGGATGGAAAAAACTTCATGCAAATACTTAGTGAAGGAGAGTTGGGGTGACTATGTACTAATAACAGCTGAATAGACTAAGTAAAAAACTTTTACAAGAGGCAAAGCCAAACACACAGCGCTCAATGACATTTTGGTCAACAGTGGATCACCTATACAATGGTGGGTCCTTCATATAGCCTTGGTGTGTGGTAGACTACACCATGTAGCTTTGTATAATTACTCAGTGATGTTTACACAACACAGAAATTGCCTAGCATGCATTTCTCAGAACATATACCATATCGTTGAGAGACATGATTATTCGAAGTTAAAATAAGATAATCCAGCTAGAAGATGTAATCCTTATAAACATGTATGCACTAAAATACTGTCCCAAAATACATGAAGCGAACATTAGCTAAATTGAAGAGAGAAATAGACAATTCTACAAGAATAATTGGAGACTTCATTAAGTCACATATAATCAGAAGATAAATAAGGAAAGATAAATAAGGAAATAGGGGGCTTCAGCAACACTATAAACCAACCAGGTTAATAGACATACACAGAACACTCCACCCAGATTCAGTAGAATACACACACATTTTTTTTTTAATTGCACATGGATCATTTTTCAGAATATGTCACAAAACCAGTCTTAGCAATTTTTTTTTTCAATTCTCCAGGCTTTCACGCATTTATTCCTGTGAGGATATGTCTGTGGGGAGGAAGAGGTGTTTCTAATTTACAGATGCAAAGACTGAGGCACAGAAAAGTCACAAAAGTAAAATTTTCTAGCACTTGGCTCAATTTGCTGGTTGAATTAAGCACATCTTTGTAAATGCAATAGAAAATGACTGAAACTTCAGGCTATGCTACCCAGATCGCTGGTTTGATGCTACTTTCTGCAGTATATATATAGTTTATAACCTTGAATGTTCAATTACTTCTTCCTAAATATCACTCTTGCACTCACCCATTGAACTCAAAAATTCTTGTTCTAGCCTATGTTTTTAAGTTTGACAAGCGTGTTTCTTTCTTTTTTTGGAATTAATTTAATTTAATTTTAATTTTTAATTTTTTTTATAACAGGCACCATTCTGATCATTTCTTTTTTTTCTGTCTTTTCTTTTTTTTAAATTTAAATTTTATTTTTTATATTCCCCATACAATTACAACCCCCTTATTTTGACCCCAAGCCCTCCTTTCCCTGC